ACAATGTTTTGCTGTGGAAGTTTTCAGGTATATGAATGTTAAGCGGAATAGTGTAATCAATCCTCATGTGCCTTTCATGCAACTAGCAACTATATTGATGTTTTTCCATCTTTATTTTATCTGCTCTTTACCTATTCTCATTCAGCCACTTGATAATTCATTTCTATAGTTCTTTTGTTTTAAAAGAAATTTATAATCCTTTATATGCACAAATATTTTAGAATGGATGTCTTAATATTTTATTCAAGTATGGTGTGGTTAACAGATCAGGAGAATGACTGTCATTGAAAAGACACTGAAAAAGACTATTATCCCTAGGGAAGGGAAAGGCATATGTGGGCAGGAACGCTTGTTGTGCTTTTCAAGGACTACATAAGACTGGCTTGGGAGTGGCTGATTTGAATAGTGTGGGCAGTGGGGCACAGGCTGTGTCTACTTGACGTCTGACCCTGGGATGATTGGGCAGGAAATTAGTTACTGACCCTGAGTGTGAGGGCCAAGTAGAGGAGATGGTAGAGTGTGAAGATCAAGATGGGTTGTTGGCAAGAGAAAGTTCTCCAGAGTAAATTGTTTGTCATCTTTAGGATTCAGCTAGTCCTAAGAGAGCAAAGCCCCCATGTCAAACCTTCAGAAATACAGAATAAAAAGAAGTGATAATTCATTACTGCTTAACAATATGGAACATTTCCACCACCCACCCACCCCCATATATTTCCTCTGTGCCTTTTCCCCAGACAACCACTATTGTGATTTTTATCTTAAATTAATTTTACTTATTCTAGAATATTATTTAATAGGATTATATTATATGGCTTTTTTTGTATTGTTTTGTTTTGTTTTTTGAGACAGAGTTTCTCTGTATAGCTTTGGAGCCTTTCCTGGAACTCACTCTGTAGCCCAGGCTAGCAGCCTCAAACTCATAGAAATCCTCCTGCCTCTGCTTCCCAAGTGCTGGAATTAAAGGCGAGTGCCACCACTCCCTGGCTTTATATGGCTCTTGTATAGAGCTTCTTAATATAATATCGTGTGTGTGTGTGTGTGTGTGTGTGTGTGTGTGTGTGTGTGTGTGTGTGTATTACATGTCTGAGTACTTTTTGTGTGAATATACTACAGAATATTTATTCTCTTGCCAATGGACATTAATTATCTTGTTTCAAGCTTTTGCTTACTATAAATAAAGGTAGATATTTTTGTCTACCTGTTTTTATTTCCCTTGAGTAAATATAGGAACAGCATTTCTGGATCAGAGGATTAGTTGCATGCTTAAGTCTTTTAGAAACTGATGGTTTTTTGAAGTATTTGTACCATTTTATATTCCCACAAGTAACTGTTATGACTTAGAAAGGAGCTGACATAAAAGTACCCTGCAGAATGAGCTTTATTAAGAGAATCCCACTGCTGTGGGATGTTCTGTATGGCAAATGTGTTGCTCTGATTGCTCAATAAATAAAATACTGATTGGCCAGTGGCTAGGCAAGAAGTATAGGCGGGACTATCAGAGAGGAGAAAAGAAGGAACAGGAAGGCAGAAGGAGTCACTGCCAGCCGCCACCAGGACAAGCAGCATGTGAAGATGCCGGTAAGCCACGAGCCACGTGGCAAGGTATAGATTTATGGAAATGGACTAATTTAAGCTATAAGAACAGTTAGCAAGAAGCCTGCCATGGCCATACAGTTTGTAAGCAATATAAGTCTCTGTGTTTACTTGGTTGGGTCTGAGCGGTTGTGGGACTGTCGGGTGACAAAGATTTGTCCTGACTGTGGGCAAGGCAGGAAAACTCTAGCTACACCTCACAACCATGGGCAACCATGACTTGGCCTTGAAGTAGAATAGGAATTAGGAGAAATATATTATTGTCATAGCCATAGGTAGCATAATGGGGCCTAAAGAAGAGAGGAGGAGGAGGAGGAGGAGGAGGAGGAGGAGGAGGAGAGAGAGAGAGAGAGAAGGAAAGAAAATTAGAGACTGTGAATCTGATTAGAAAGTTGTGTCATCAAGTTAGTTTTCCATGTCTTTCTCTAGGGAGTAAGTTGTGTTCACTTAAAGGGAACTGGCCTGAAATGCCTTTATCTTAATAACCTGTTCCTCCAGGTGTTGGGCTTCTTCAGTGATGTACCTTGTGTACTCTGACATGGGGCAGAGAGCTTGTGGTTTAGTCCACACCTTTGTAAATCTTCACGATGGCTGCTCTGGTGCCCCCACCCCTTTTGTTCCTGTTTCAGCCTCCCTGAGCTGTATTCCTTCCCTATACATGTTGTGCATGAATGACTCTCTCAGTTGTGTTTTGTGTTAATCTTCCATCCCTACTGTATACTGCAAAAACACACACCCATGCTTTCACGTCAACATCACCAGTTACATCACTTCTAATCTTCTGAATTTTGCCTTGAGCTTTGCTCCTGAAACAGCCTTATAGTGTGAACAAACATCTCTTGGACAGTAGATTGGATACCATTTTAATTTTTGCATCCAGATGTTTCCTGGCTTATCTGTAGGTACCGTTAGCCACATAGTCCTTCTAGCACCCCCCACCCCCACCCCAGGTGTCTTTGGTTCTCCGCACATCTGACAGTAGCAAAAGGAGAAAGCCGTTCAGGTGATGCTACCTGGCTTCAGGAAACAAAACAAAATCCGTATTATTCCTGCATAGCCCCCATTTGTTATGGCTTCACATATATGTTCTATCTATTAGTTCTTGGCCTGGTGCCACACTGAATGTGCTGCAGACTTTTCTTGGGTTACAGCAGATCTAGAATCTGTTTCACATCCAGGGGCTGGCGAGATGGCTCGGTGGTTAAGAGCACTGCTACTCTTTCAGAGGACCCAGGTGCAGTTCCCAGCACCTAGATGGCATGTCACAATTGTCTGTAACTTCTGTTCCAGAGGATCTGATGGCCTCATACAAACATACATGCAGGCAAAATACCAATGCACAAAAAATAAAAATAAATTCTAGAATCTGTTTCACTGAAGTAACAGCACACAATAAACCCATTACAATGTGGTTAAATATCTCGTTTGCTCATCAAACTGAGAGAGTGCCCTTCTGTGACGCCAACCTCTTATGTTTGCAGAATGAAGTTTGCTTCATAACTCTTCTTGGCAAACAAGCCACAGGTCCTGGGAAAGGGGTGAGGATGCAGCAGGGAGATGAACACATTGGGATTTCTTGCCCACATAAATGGGCACCATGCCAGCCTGCCCTTGTGCACAATGCTTTCCTTGTCTTCATTAAAGGCGACTTAGCACTTGCTTTTACCCTTTAAAATATCTTTGGTCATTTTGAAATGATGAATTCATAAATGGTGTACTATTATTATAAAACATGTTCTGAGGTTAAAAGGCAAGTGTTAGAAACTTAATAATGTATATTGGCTTGTTCATTGCTTAAATACATTGCCATCAACCATGAAAATGGTAGCAGATTTCCTTTGAACACACCTTACTTGACCATGTAAAGCTAGCATTTTCACTGTTTGGGTTTTTTTCTTTTGTGAGGTAACTTATTTCATATGGAAGTGTGATTTGATAATTATAGTTGATAGTTATTCAGTTGTCAGTTTTATTCCTAAAGCCCATTTTCTTTTCAATGAGAGGCCAGTTCTCCCTCTTACTGGGAAAGGATGGACCAGGAGGGGCAGATGCTGCAAAATATGACTAATTGTGACCTTTTTTTTTCACCGCTGAAAGACTATGGTATCAATACTACACAGTGACATTTGCCTTTCTATTTTCATATTAGAATCTCAAGGGAATTTATTGAAAGACTAGACATGGACAAAGAAGAAATTATGACTGTTATTCTAGATTAGTACTTTCTGCTGATCCTGAAGAAGAGTTCATGAGATGTGGGTTTTGGGGTTTTTATTAACTCTTTGGGGAATCTTTTGTGCTGCGATGGCTGAATATAACTTGCAAAGATCTGAGCTTTTCCTTTATTAATGTTCTGCCTCATTAACTTCATTGTTGGCTTTTTACACTTCAGTGGTTTAAATAACGAAATGAAAAGGGTCCTATTGTCCTCTTTGCCGCTGTCCTTTTGGAAGTTTACTGATTGTGTGTTTAGTTTGTGTCTTCATTTAGTCACAGTTGTAAGTCCTAATAACTGTAAAATGATCGTGAAGGGAAATGATTGTGTAACAGAATATTGTACTTTGTTGAAGCCTGAAAATTAAGAGAATGCTTTTAAAGATGAAGTGGTCAATATGCAGCTGGTTTGCTTTTGGTTTGGTTTTATTTTAGTCATTTTTACCTTCAGGAGACCAAGGGCCCAGTCTTCCTAGCTGTAAGACTGCATTCTATTGAAGAGCTTGGGTGGCGATTATATTTGGGCTTTCACATATAGCCAGTGGTGTTTATAGTCTTCTGTTCCAGATACGTGGGCTTTGCCTAAAAGCAAGCTATATTTATCCTTAAAAATGTTTTCTAAGCATTTTCAGAAAGCATAGGAGCTTTCCATTGACTCTCCAAGCAAAGTCATCTTTTGCAAATACTTGTACCAAATTGCAAGTTGTATACATATTTTGCTAGTAGTTTTTTTCCCCAAGTGATTTACTGACAGATATCATAGCATCTCTTATCAAAAACAGAAGTTTAGAGGCATCTATTAAAATGTAGAAAAACAATGTTAGTTCCATTTGACTTGAGAATGGGATTTTTTATGTTGCCAAACATTTTTCATTTTAGAAAGAATATTTAAGCTGGATATGGTGGCGCACACCTTTAATCCCAGCACTTAGAGGCATAGGCAGGTGGATCTCTGAGTTGAGGCCAGCCAGATCTCTGCAGTTGAGGTCTGCTGAATGAGTTCCAGAACAGCCAGGGCTACATAGAGAAACCCTGCCTTGGGGGCTGGGGGATATTTAATTACTAAGATCTATTGTTTAAAGTTATTTATTTGCTTTTGACCCACCTAAGTTGAGCAGTGAATTTGGGTCCACATAAGCTCAGCTAACATGAGATACTGGTATTCATTTCTGACCATTTCTTTTCTCTTCCAGCACATCAACGACTGGAACCAGCAACTTTGTCAGGGATTGTGGCGTTCATCCTTAGTCTTTTATGCGGAGCTCTGAATTTAATTCGAGGCTTTCATGCCATAGAAAGCCTCCTGCAGGTACGGTGCTATATTTGCAGTTTCAGGTGACTGTGTCTATTCAGTCTACTTGTTACATAATTGATTTGAATTGGATTAGGTCTTAGTATAATTTACAGTGCGGCTCAAAATCTGTATTCTTATACATGCCTTTTTCTACCTTCCTTCAAAAGCATGATTTCAGTGGCAGGCCCAGTGGACATGCCTGTAATCCTGGCCCTTGAAAGGCTGAAGCAGGAGGGTTACAAATTTGAGGCCAGCTGAAACCACATAGTAAGTTCTAGGCCAGCTTGGGTTATATAATGAAACCCTATCTCTAAACAAAAAACAAAAACAAAAACATCACAAAAGCAATCCCCACCAAAACAAACAAAAAACAAAACTACTGACTTCTGGTTGACATGTTCCTTTATTACCCACTCTTTGGAGGCATTGTTGACAGGCACTGTGTGAACATCAAGCTATGTAGCATGGACCCTACATTCTCACAGCTTAAAGTTGAATTGGATAGACAAAGACATCTAGGAGTAATAGCCAGGAAGAGGAGAGGTCACTGTGATTCAGGAGAGGCGAGGAGAGAGGGTGAGCTGGTCTTGGAAGAACAAGAGGGCAGAGGAGAGTGGAAGCAGAGTGATAGTCCACATGGACACTGCCTCTGTGTGTTCCTGTGTAAGCGCTGCTGCTTGTCCTTTGCTAGTGGCCTTTTCAAACCTGAGCTGCCTCTTGCTTCAGGTACTTCATTTCCCAGGGGGGTTTCTTCCAGAGCCTTAAGCTACCCAACTGTGTAACCTTTTCCTGTCCTTTCTGAAATCTCCTTTCTTCAAGTCCAGCATGTTTGAGATGCACAGTTATCCCTTCCTTTGATCCATTCGCTTTCTCCCAAGAGTTCTTGACAGGATCACATTACACAAATCAGATCTTGATCTCTCTCTCCCTCCCCCCTTCTCTGTGGAGTGTCTGTGTCTGTGTGTCTGTCTATCTCTCTAGCATTAAGTTCAGGATACCATTTATAAAAACCTGCTCACCATGCTAGGTTCATGGTACCATTCATTCTACATGTCCTCTGTGTTCAGGTACCAAAAGCCTACAGAAAGCAGATGACATCATGGTTTCTAAAAGGGATACATTCTTTTTTCTCTTCTATTCACAGTTTCTCTCCTCAACAGTTTACTTCAGGTAAAGTTCCTGCCCCCTTTTAGGCATAGGATGCTGGCTGTCATCCCTCTGCCTTCTGCCCCATCCTTCTGCTAGGTTGAATTTATTCCAGCAGAAGTTCAGTTTTCAGCCAGCCAGACAAGCTGTCAAGAGAATGGGCAATTTGGAAACTGCTGACTGAAAAAGCTAATAAATAAAGCAGTCTTTAAAACACTTTTATTGATGTAATGGAAAAAACAGTGGGGTGGGTGTGTAAAGAGTCAGCGAGTAGCCCTAGGTGGAGACAGGCTTGACTGTCACAAAGCCTTGTTTCCATCCTGACTGAAGATCCTGTGGAAGCTGCGGAAGCTGGGCTCAGGGCCTAGCACCTGGGAGTTAAAAGGGCAGACAAGGGGATTGCTCTGGCCCAGCCTGTTAAGGGTAACTTAGATTTCCTTCGTGCACTCAGTTATCTTGTCCTTCGTCTTCTGGGGCTCCTTCTCTCGTTCTTCCTCTTCTGGTTCAGAACTGAAAAACTGAAGGAAGTTTTTGTGTACTATAGCCTGTCATGCTTTTGAAATGCTGCAACTAACTTAGGCTTCTCTTCATTGCTAACCGTTCTGTGTTCTCTCCAATTGGTAATACACTTGTCTAATGGCAGTGATACAGCTTTAGGTTTTAGAAGAACACTCTGATCAAACTGCCAGCTACTTAGATGTAATTGACTCTTTGTGCTGAGATGTCTCAGCTTGTTTATATTTTTAAAAGACAACTTTACAGACCATTTATCTTTCTTGGACACAGATGCAAAGATTTCTAGCAATATATTAATAAATCAAAACTAGTAATGAACAAAAATAATTATACAACAACCAAGTGGGATTTATCCCAGGTGTGCAATGCTGATTTAGTATTTGAAATCAGTTACTGCTATCTATCACTTCAACAGTCTAAAGGAGAAATAATAATCATATCACGTCAATAGATGCAGAAAAGTATTTGACAAAATCTAAAAACCTTCATCCATGATAAAACACACACACACACACACACACACACACACACACACACACACACACACACACACACAGAGCTTGGAGCAAACCAGGAGTAGAGGGGCCTTTTCAAATCTCAAGCAGCTAACACCTTTAATGTACTAGATACTTTTCTGTTAAGACAGAAATAGGGTGAAGAGAACTCCTCTAACCTCTTCTATTTAACATTGCACTGGAAATCCTACCCGATACAATAAGATGAAAAGGAAAAAAATATGGATGGAAGAAAGAAGTTTGCAGATGGCATGATTAGCTATATAGTGATGCCCAAGAGCCAACAAAAAGCTCCTGAAACTATGAAGTGATTATAGTTATATAACAAGATGGGAGGTTGAACTGTCTAAAAATTTCTTAAATTCCAGCAACAAACAATTGAAATTTGAAAGTACTGAAAAAGAAGTCCCTACAAAGAAATCTAAAACACGTACAGGACTGATATAAAGTAGATTATGAACTCTGACCAAAGAAATCAAAGAGGAAATAAATAGAAGAGATTCCACACTAGAAAGGAAAACTCAATATTGAGATGTCAGTTCTTCTTGTCCTGATGCATAGATTAAACACAGTTCCAGTCAAAATGCCAGCAAGTTATTTTGTGTATTCAATAAAGTGATTGCAACGTTTATATGGAAAAGCAAAGACCCAGTATGCAGAAAAAAATGAAAATGCTTTTATTCTGTATTCTCACCAACAAAACTCAAAATTTCACTTCTGCCACCAGATGAATGGGAGGTCTTTCCATACTAAGCAATTCTCTAGTTCCATCTAGGTGTCCTACAATTGAGTTCAGTTTTAATACTGTCTACTTGGAGTTAGGACAGAACTCACATGCTAAGGGCTCAGTTTTATGGGCCTACCCTTACTGCAGATGCCAGCTGTATGACCAGATTGTACTGATGACTAGCTGGCTATACGTTGGAGGTTTATACAACTTTCTCTTTTGGAGCAATCATTTGTTGGAATAGTTTTCGGACTCAGAAATGCATTTGGTGGTTAATTATAAAGGATATTTCAAATTCACAGATGAATTAAGAGCTATAAAGGGAGAGACTGGGGAAGCTCTGGACAAGGGCTCTGTCCCTGTGGAGCTGGGTTTGCCACCCTCCTCACATGTTGAGATGTTCACCAACCTAGAAGTTCTCCAAACTCCATGTTTTAGAGATTTGGGGGAAGGCATGATCGGTTATTAAACTTATCATCTATCCTCTCCTCCCTGGAAGATTGGGATAGAGACAGAAATCTCAGGCATCTAGCTGGTTTTTTTGTTTGTTTGTTTGTTTGTTTTTTCCTGGTATCCACCACTGATCTGGGAGTCTATAGTAGTTGGCTTCAGAACAAAAGCTGTCCTCCTTACTCACGAAATTCCAAGGGTTTGGGAGTTCTGGGTCAAATCCTTCTCTAACTCAGGAAATTAGAAAGCTCTTAGGGAATCTGTGACAGGACTGTTGTCAGAGACCAATGGGAGCAAAAGATTTTCCTAGCACCTTTATTACAAGGTTTTTAGGAGCCCTGTGTGAGGGGCAGACTATCACTATTCACACCCAGAATGGTCTACACAGTCCTGATGAAAAACAAAAGTGGGCCTCACGTTGTCCAACTTACTATAAAGACTTACTATAAACTACAGTAATTAAGACCGTATGGTCTTGGCAGAAGAATAAACAGTAGATCACCATGACAGAATCGAGACTCTAAAAATAAACTTACATCTGTAGAGCTACCTGGTCTTTGATAAAGAAGCAAAAGCAAATCAATGGAGACTGGACAGTAGTTAACATGGTTCTGGAACAACTGGAAAACCACGTGCGAAGGAATAAACAGGAATTCAGAATGGGTCATAGACCTAAACAAAAAGAACAAAGCTTAAAATTTATAAATTAAAAAAAAAGTAGCATAAGAGAAAACCTATATGACCCTAGGGTCTGACTATGGGTGCAACACCAAAAGTGTTGTGAAAGAAAAATATGCTGCTAAACGTCTTAAAACCCAACAAAGTCTGTTCTGTGAAAACAGTCAGGAGAGTGAAAAAAGGCACAGGCCAGGAAGAGATACTTGGAAACATCTCTTATGATAAAGAGCCTTGACTCTGTAGGGCTGGAGATGGCTTATTGGTGAAGAGTGCTTATTACTACTACTCTTCTGGAGGACCCAAGTTCAGTTCCCAGCACCCATCTTGGGTGGCTCACAACCGTCTGGAACTCCAGCTCCAGGGGATCCGATGCCCTCTTCTGGCCTCCAAGAGCACCTTCACTCTCACATTAAACATTCACTCACACATAAATAGGATCCTAAAACCCACAAAGAATTCCACAAACTCAAAACTAAGAATGCAAATCAACCCACTGACAATGGCCAAGAGAGCAGTAGACAACCTCACTGCAGAGGATACTGCAGATGACAGACAGGCATGTAGAAAAATGCTGGACATTGTATGTCATCAAAGAACTGCAAGTTTACAAGATGATGCCACTCACCACCTGTTAAAACGTGCCCCCGGCCCAGCCAGCTAACACTTCCCAATGCTGATGAGGATGTGGAACAAGGGAACTCTCATTTGCCACTAAGTGGAAGTGCAAAATGTTACAGCCACTCTGGAAAACAGTTGGGCTGTTTCTCACGGAGCTAACCATGGCTTTACTCTATCATTTAGCACTAGTGCTCTTAAGTCTCTCACCAGAGTAGAGCACTTTCACCATGTGAATGTTCATAGCAACTTAATCATCATTTCAAGGAAGCAGTTATGGAAGATAAGTGGTACATGGTAGTAATTCATACAGTGGACTACCATTCAGTAATAGAAGAAATGGCTGTCAGTCATAAATAGACATGGAGACCTCTTAAGTGCATATTGTTTGGTGAAAGCAGCCAGCGTGAAAAACTACATACTGGACACTTTCTACAAGAGGCAGATCTATAGACAGTAAGTTCTGTAGTGTCCAAGGTGGGAAGAGATGTGAGTGTGTATAGTCAGAGATTATTGGAGCTGTGAAATGGTGCTGTGTGACTGTAGTGGTCGGTACCTGCCATTGTCCATGTGTCCAGACCACAGAGCCTACAACAGGAAGAGCGGACTTCAGTCAGTAACAATGTGTCAATACTAGCTCAGCATTTGTATGTACCACAGTGATTCCAGTTGTCACTGGAAACTGAGCGGGGAGTCAGGAACATAGGCAGACTCTCTCCTTCATTTTCTATATGTCTAAGGCTAATCTAAAATTTAAATCTATTTTAATTGGTCCTGTGGCACACTCCTTTAATACAGCAGTTGGACAGAGGCAGGTGGATTTCTCTTGAGTTCCAAGCCAGTCAGGGCTACATAGTGAGACCATGTCTTTAAAAAACAATGTATTTTAAAAGCCAACAGTAAAACAAAGACTTTCTCTTTGATGATAAGTCCAAGGAAAACTGGAAAGGGAGGCATGTTCTTACCCTGAGCTTTGATGTTTTGATGTTCTTTGGTGAGGTGAGCTCTACTTGGCAATAGTTAAAAGTACAACCTGTTGAACCCTGCCTGCTCTTAGAAGCATGGATTAGGCTTCTCTGTGGGGGCCTGAGCCTTCCCCCGCATAAACCACGTGAGGACCTTGATGCCCAGCTAGATGGAGTCAGGTTCAGGAATCTGGTCTGTGCCTTGAGGTCCATATACATAACTGTGTGCCTGCAGAGCACATTTGAGAATGCCAGTGAAGTACAGGCCAGATCTATTGACCTGGTACCCACTAGTCCCTGCCAGCTTACCCCACCACACACACACCCCAAGGATTGTCTGTCAGAATAAGTACAGGTTTTAATTTGCATAAATAAACCCTGAAAGAATAAGAAAGTAATTAACATGGTGGGAACTGACAGATGGGGGTGGGGTGGCAGCAAGGCTTCACTAAGTGCCTCTTCATAGACTGTTTTTACTTTGAACCATGTAAATATTGCTCATCAAAACAAGGGCTGGGCTAGGAGGATAACAATTCTTACTATAACCTGGGGTCGATATTTTTGAAAAAAAAATTCATGTATTTCTTATATGTTATACCCTGGGTTCAATCCTCAGCAATGAAAAGCAGTACTCGTAGGCAAACAGAAGAAAAAAAATTAGGTAAACCTATTTAATTGGTAGATTTTTCAATTACCAAAATTTCAGGTACAGGTAAATCTTTTTTGGGGCAATGAGCTGATGTTGGTCACTTTTTCTTTTCCCTCAGAGTTAAGTTCACAGCTTCTATGGGATGAGGATTTTTTTCTTTATTATAGCCATTAGACTTGATCCTAGGCTCCTATCTGGTTTATCAGAGCATTGTATGTTAGGAATAAACTCTTGAAGTTAAATAGATCTTCCTGAAGGTGTCTTCCCTGTAGAATTGTGTACAAATCTTACCTGAGTGGAATTATTCAGATCTTGGTGGTGAAAGAGGGGAAAGCAGTCCCAGAATCAACAGCCTCCGTATTTCTATAAAACTTGATTAACGAATAAAGGATTGCTGGGTGCCGGGCACACGCCTTGATTCTCAGCACTGGAAATGCCGAGGCAAGAGGATCTCTGTGAGTTCTAAGTCAGCCTGAGCTACATAGTGAGTTCCAGACCAGTCAGGACTACACAGTGAGACCCTGTCTTTAAAAAAGAAGGGGAAAAAAAGCAAAGAATTTATTTGAAAATTATAATTTTGGATCTAGTGAATAATATATTGTATATTTCCTGATTTTGAATAGTATATAGGTACTAATTTAAAGTTTACAGTTTTATAACCTTGGTTTATAAATACTGACTATTCAAAACGGTTGCAACATTAACTTTTGACTGTGTTACCTTGTGCTTGTAGCATATTTATTTAGAAGACTCACATGAGTGAACATTTCCATGTATTGTCATGTTGTTTAAACATTCAGGATAAAGGGGCTGGTGCCATGGCTCTGCTGGTAAAGGCACTTGCTGCCAAGTGTAATGACCTGGGGTTGATGCCTGCACCCGCAGATGGGAAGACAGAGCTGACTCCTGCAAGCTTTCCTTGACCTCCACACATGTGCTGGGGCATGTGTATGTGTATACCTATATGCGTGTTCATACACACATACAAATGAAGTGTGTAGAAAATGGAAAAACAAAAGCTCAGCACAAATTTGCTTATGCTCGATTAGTAACTACTTCTTAGTGTGAGAGGGATTTATTAAAATATGTGGCACCAAAGTTTTATTTGTTGTGTGTTGTATATATATATTTTTTAAGTTGATAAATTTGATTTCATGTTCACAGTAATGTGTAAATTAGATTATTTGCACTTTCTTCCTTGCTTTGTTCTGAGTTTAGAGATGTTAATAAGGTTGTTGTGAGTTGACACTTCAGGAATGCATAAGCTTTTATCACATCGTTTTTATTGCATGGGTTCAGCTAAGGATCAGTTTTGAAACAATGGTAATTAGGCTGATGCCAACCCAGAAGTAATTTCCGTATGGTGTATTAGAAAATGAATCCTGTCACAGCAGTGGAATGCTGCCCTAGACGTCAGGAGACCTGTGATCTCTTTGCCAGTAACTAGTGCAGTGAGTGACCTTAGATAGGCTGCTGTGGTCTCATCTTTCATTGTGCAGGATAGAGGCATAGACTCCACAAGCCAAGGGGGCTGTCAAGCACCAGTGTCCTAAGATTCTTGGACTCCAAGATGTTTGGAATACTTACTACAAAGCAGAAATGTTCTACTTCAGTTTTTCAAAATGCAACGAGCTAAGCAATCCAAAATACAGCTTGTAAATAAAGATTTGAGCACATGTCAGACTGACTCTGGGAACGTGCTTTTAGATCTAAAGGCAGTTAAGAGAGGTTTCAAATGGCAGTGTAAGTTCTGAGAAAAACCACCACTGCTGTATAGGACAGTAACTAAGTCCTATTACACATTGAGAGGCTGACATTGTTTCACATGTCCTGTAGATGAGGACTATTTACGATGTTGGGAAAGTGTTTATGTTACTATGTACTATATGTATGTTATGTTATGAACTATGTAGTATATGTATGTTATGTTATGTACTATGTACTATATGTATGTTATGTTATGTATGAAAGAGCAGCACACAAAAGTATGGTTCTAGTTCTTTGGGGATGGAGGAGGGGAGAGGCAGAGACAAAGAACCAGAAATACATGAAAGGGTTAACAACAATTTTCCCATATGTGGGATTACGGACTACATGTTTCTTCGTATAATCTATATCTTCCACAATTTTCTACAGTGAACGTAGACTTTTATAATCAGGAAAAAGGACCAAAAAGTAATCAGAGCTTATTTAAAGTCTTGAATTATAAAGGTGGAAAGGCTTCAAGTTGGCCCTTCCTGCCTCTGGGGCAGAATTGACCTGAGTATCCTAAGATTAATGTTCCTGTTTTAAGATCTCACTAGGATAAGCCACTCTCCTCTGCCTTGTGGACTGTTCTGTACCCAATCAATTGCACTACAGCAATTTGCTCTTATTTCTATTACATAATGCCCCCACCTCCACAAAATCCCAGCATTTAGGAAGTTGTGGCAAGGGGACTGAGCATTTGAGGCCACCCTGGGCTACGTAATGAGACCCTGTAGGAAAAAGAAAATCACTTTTTTCTAAAAGAAGGAAAAGGGGCTTAGTATAATGTTCCTGCATGAAGAGAAACCCTCATTCCTTTGCCCGGGCTTTACATTCCGCTCATACATTTACGGAAAGAAGTTGAATGTTGATACTTTGCAGGAACCAAGGACACAGGCCCTGGCTGGCCCTCCTCTGCTGTTTGCTAGCACAGTGCCATTGTAGCCAGTCCCGATCTTTCTCTTTGGGATTTAGCACACTCTAGTGGACAGTAGCTTTTCGGTTGCCACAGTTTTATTTATCATGTCAAGTTACTTTATTGGGCAATTCATCGATGTGCCTCTGGGTAGTAAAGTTTGTCAGTTTTTATTTAAGCAGTGACCCTCATGAGCAGGAGGAACTTGGTCGGTCACCCTCTGGGATATTGTGCATGTTTATGTAGTGTTACTAGGAGGAAGAGACTGTGTGCTATGGGGGAACCAGATTTTCCCTGGTGCTGCTCAACTTCCCTGGAGTGAAATGCCATTAATAGGTGAGGCCAAGACACAGAATGCTTGGAGTTTTCCTCAACTTCCCATTTCTCTGCCTTTTAAATTTAAATTCATTTTATGTGTATAAGTGTTTTGTCTGCATGTACATCTGTGTTTCACTTGTGTGCCCAGTGCACATGGAGTTACAGATGGTTGTGCGTCACCATATGGGTGCTAGGAATTGAACCCCTGTCCTCTAGAAAAGCAGTCAGTGCTTTTAACTGCTGAGGCATACCCTTCTTTTTCTCTGTCTTACCATGTGTTTTATATTTGTCTTTTAAGACTCATAAATTTTATACAAAGTGTTTGTGCATAAACATTGTCATACCCTGTCCTGGTAGACTATTTGTCTGAATAGGTGCTGCCGGCAAAAAGGTAATCTTTCTTTGTGTTTTACAGAGTGATGGTGAGGACCTCAATTACATCATTGCATTTTTCCTTGGAACAGCAGCCTGCCTTTACCAGGTAGGTTTCCTTCCATTTCTCACAAACGCTTCCCCATTACTGTTTGTTTCACGTGTCCAGTCTGATAATTGCCCGTGTATTTAAAATGTACATAGAAATGGTGTCTGAGTTATCGCCTCTTTTTAAATTTGAGTCTTCGTCACCTTTGTAACATACACTTCCGTCTGAGTGGACAGAGGTTTCCGGTGAACTTACTCGTAACCCTTCTCTGTGCTGGGACTTCAGGGGTGCCCTGTCGTGTTCCTGCAACAGTAAGGCTGCTTCTAGATTTCCTAGTGAGAATTATTGGCGTCCAGGCAGAGGACTTTGTGCTCTGGAGAAAGCCTTGAATAGGGGGGACACAGCAGAAGGAACATTTCAGGATTTTCAGGTTCGGAGAGATGAATGGGATAGGTTGAAAGAGCAGAGAGACTGCAGTTAGGAAACCAGTTGGGAGATGATTCTGGTAACTCCGATGGAACATAAAGGGAGCCCAAACTGTGGCTGTGACAGCAAGGTAGAGAAGTATTGCCACTGAGAAGGATACCCAACCAGCACTTAAACAGTGTTCAGGAGACTCTAGAAGGGGGCGGGTTCTACTCCTGGCTGATGGGGAGACTGGTCAGGGGAGGGATGGGAGGAATGACCATGTCAGTGACCCAAACTCAGGAGTGCTTTTGTTTGAACATAAGAAGCAAACAGGGACCCTGACTTACCTTTTGTAGGTAACATGTTCCTCTGGCTTACATAGGAAAAAAGAAAGAAGCTAGGAAAATGTATGTTAGTATGTTCCTAAGATTACCCAAAATTCTGTAGAACTCTTTAGGGAAATATTTGGATGAATATTTGAACTTTACATAAACATGAACAGTTATAAATTTTAGTTTTAGTGGCTTCACTTTTTAAAATCTTTAAATTTTCTTAATGTTATCTTTAGAAGTCCATTAAATTTGACAGGTTTCCTTAGGACAAAGGACATTTCATACAGGTAATGTGAAGCCATGTGTTTGTTAATGGCATGTAGTGCTTAATTTTTCACAGTGTTCTTTTATGGGTTTTCCACTTTAATCCCGATACCCCATCATACAAGGTTATTGTCTCATTTGTAAAAACGAGAACAGAAGCACTCAGTACTGTCTTGAGACGGCATAAGCAGGAAAGGGGAGGAGTCATGGTGAATGCTTCAGAATTTAGATCCCAGGTTCATCCCCATATCATGCTACTTCTAACCTAGCCAAGTCAGTCCTTCTCATTCGTACACTTTTTATGATGTTATAAAAGCTGTACCTCATGAGTCTCATGTGAATAGTATTTCATGAATGGTAATTCTTAGAAAGGTAAAGCTTCGGTTGCTTTGCTTCACAAAGGCAATGTTCAGTGCCTAGTCGTAATGGCAGTGTTATTGACGCCTTGTGTTTCCCTAGGCCCTTGACATTCATCGTACCATTAAGTCATCACAGAAGCTGCACCAGGCCTTTGGTCAGCACCATGTTGTCACTGAGGGCTAGACCGTTCTTACAGCTAGTTACCTGTGTTACTCCACAACAGTGCTCTTACATCACCCAGAACAGATGACAGTGTTTGGAAGAGCTGCTTAATGGCAGGCTAGTGTTACTCAGGTATCACTTGAGAGAAGTGAATAAATTCCTGCTTTAAGAAGGAAAAAGTGTAAAACCCAGTGTGAAGCTCCACAGCTTCAGAATGGCTGTTCTAAGTTCACTGAGATGATAGACTTTGGGTCTGGTAAATATTGGTGTGTGATATATATTTTATTTGCAAGTTTTTTAAATAATAAAGTTTTAAAAAATTAAAAATGGGAAGCAAACTGGTTTCCTGTACATATATGGGCATTAAGCGTCCCGCTTTCCAAAAATTCTGAGCAGAGTGGTAACTATTTTTTGCAGTTACATTTTACTATTTTATTGCTGTGTTTCCAGTTGTCAGGGTATGTTTTAATGTGTTAGGTCAGCTCTCTTAAGTTAGCTACTATAGACCTGGTTGCCCTTTTCTTCAGGATGCCAGAGCTGATTGATACCCAGAGCTCAGCCAGGAGGGACTACTCTTAATACTGAGTATTTCAAAGAGAGCCAAGGTTAGCAGAGATACTAAGTCTATTTCGTTTCTAAACTATAAGTATTTCCCTTTCTAAACTGTCAAACATACAGAAAAATTAGAAGACTAGTATATGCAGAATCACCTATTGCTAACATTTCATAGCAGTTCTTTCATCTTTCTATGTATATACGGGTGAACATACAGTATGCATGGAGATGTTTATGAATGAGCTTCAGGGGCCAGGGAGATGGCTGAGTAGGTAAAAGTGCTTGCCATGCAAGAATGACAACCTGAGTTTGACCCCTGATTCCATGTCAAAGTAGAGAACCAGCTCCACCAAACTGTCTTTTGATGCCCACACATACTCTATGGCATTATGTTCTGGTACCCACACTGAAACATTAATAATAAAGTTTAAATAGAAACTGCTAAAATAAAAAATCATTAAAAACTCAAAACAAGTTAGAAGAAGAGAACTAACTCCTGAAACATTATCCTCTGATCCCCACATGTGGGTGTCCACACTCAGATACACAAACATGTATACACAAAGAATAAACAGTTAAAAAAAAATAGTGGTGGTAAGATGGCTCAGCAGGCAGCCTTGGTGACCTGAATTCAGTCCCTCAAATCCACCCAAAAGGGGAAGGAGAGAACTGACTGCAAAAATTGTCCTCTGACCTCCACACGTGCCATGACACATGCGGGCCCACCTTTATTCTCTGATATCTTATACCAATAATAAATAAAGCTCCTGATAAACATAAATATATGTATACATTTGTCTTTCTTGCTGAAGTGTTTTCATTTAAGACAATTATAGACTCACATGGAATAATAGGAGAAATCCTATAAATTCTTTTTACCTGGCTTTCCCTGTGGCACCATCCTGAAAATCATAATACAATATCATAAGCCCTGTGTTGCTATTGATGTAGTCAAGATAGAGAATATTCCTGTCACCAAAAGAATCCCTCTTGTTTCCTTCTATGTTACATAAATGGAATCATACAATACATAGACATCAGTTAAGGCAGCTCTAACCAAACTTACGTAGGCTAGGAGGAGGCTTAAACAAGGGTGTTTATTTCTCACAGTCCCAGAGGCTAGGATGTCCGAGACCAAGGTTTTGATAGATAACTTCTCCCTGGCCTGGAGAAGGCTGCTTTCTGGCTGTGTCTTGACATAGCAGACAAAATGCTGCTCTCTCTTCTTCTAAAGCCACTCCTCCATTTAGGCACTCCACCCTATATCCCATCTAGACTAGCAACTTTCTGAAGTTCTGCTTTCTGATATCCCCATAGTGGGGGTACACATTTGGGATGGGAAAGGCACAAACCTTTAGTTAAACCTAGCCTTTTGTGATTGGCCTTTTCTTACTCTGCATAATCCTCTGACAATTCATCCAAGTTGTTACACAGTTGATGGATTTTTAAGACAGGGCTTCACTGTATAGCCCAGGCTAAGTTTAAACTCTACCCTCCTGCCTCAGCCTCATGCTGGGGTTACAAGCATGTATCACCGTGCCTGGCTTCATATATAGGCTTTTGTATGGCTATGTCTTCATTAATTTGGGGTACATGCCCAGAAGTAAAGTTATTGGTTGCTGTGGTAACTGTATGCTTAGCTTTAATAGGAAACCATTTTCCAGAGTAAAATGTACATTCTTGCCCTTCTCTGTAACTCCACTGGTATTTGGGGTGGTCACTTTGTTCTGTCTTAGCCATTACAACAGGATTTCCTCATGGTTTGTATTTTGGAGTCCCTTAATGTTAGTGATGGTCACCATTGCTTCGTGTGCTCATTTTTCATCTGCGTGTCCTCCTCAGTGAACTGTTTGCTCCTGTCTCTTGCCTGTTTCTGATTGGGTTGGTTTTTACTTTGGGAGGGCTACTTTTTAAAAAGCTTTTAAAAAATAATGTTCTAGATAGTCGCCTTCTCATATATGTGTCTTATGATATCCTTTTCCAGTAAATAGTTTGTCTTTTTAGCCTCCTGGGCACTTTTGCAGAATATGTTTTTAATTTTTGTTTGTTTTTTTGAGACAGGGTTTCTCTGTGTAGCTTTGTGCCTTTCCTGGAACTCATTCTGTAGTCCAGGCTGGCCTCGAACTCACAGAGATCTGACTGCCACTGCCTCTGTGTGCTGGGATTAAAGGCATGTGGCACCACTGCCTGGCTAGTTTTTAATTTTTATAAAGTTAATTTGATCATTTTTTTATGGCTTACATGCTAACATTTTATAACCCTTCCTTAATCTCTCAGTACATGAGTGAACATACAGTATGCATAGAGATGTTTATGAAGTCAGCTGTCTGTATATGGGTGAACATACAGTATGCATAGAGATGTTTATGAAGTCAGCTGTCTGTATATGGGTGAACATACAGTATGCATAGAGATGTTTATGAAGTCAGCTCTCTATATACGGGTGAACATACAGTATGCATAGACATGTTTATGAAGTCAACTGTCTGTATATGGGTGAACATACGGTATGCATAGAGATGTTTATGAAGTCAGCTTCAGGGCCAGAGAGATGGCTAAGCCGGTTCTGAAGATTTCTGGGTTTTTCTAAGTTTTGTAGCTTTATGATTTATATGTAAGTTTGGGATTTTTTTTTTTTTGGTTATGTTCTTTTTGTGGTATGAGACTCAAGTTGAGGGTTTTTTTTCTTTGTTTCTACATGACCAAGTGTTCCAGCATCATTTTTTATCAGACTGTTTTCTTCCACTGAATTTCTTTTACACCTTTATATAAACTCAGTTGGGCATATTTGTGTGAGACTCTTTCTGGGTTCTGAATTATGTTCTTTTGATCTATTATCCTACCACAATCATATGTCCTTATTACCCTAGCTATATACCACCTTAAATTCAATTTTCTTTTTAAAATTTATATATTATGTATACAGTGTTCTGCCTACATATATGCCTGCACACCAGAAGAGGGCACCAGATCTCATTGTAGGTAGTTGTGAGCCACCATGTGATTGCTGGGAATTGTTCAGGACCTCTGGAAGAACAGCCAGTGCTCTTAACCTCTGAGCCATCTCTCCAGCCCAAAATTCAATTTTCTTAATAGTCATAGAATGACTCAAATTTTCTATTTCAGTAGATAAAATTATGGTAGTTTTGGGTTTTATGGAGGTGGTCTGGTCCACTGTGTAAAGTTGTTAGTCATATCCCTTAATATTCTTTTGATGTCTACAATGTTTATAATGATTTTGTTTCTTTTCTGATGTTGCTGATTTATATATTGTCAGTGTTGGTCTTGTCAGTTTCTGTTTCACTGATCAAACCAGCTGTTCATTCCATCAGGGGTTTAGTTTTTTTTCTTTTTCCTCTTCTGTTTTTCTGTTTTCAATTTTACTGATTTCTGCTCTTGTTAGGAGTTGAATTGTGGACTTTTCTAGTTTTCATTTCAGTTCTGGTTTTGTTTCACATGTTTTGAAGTTATGTGGTTTTTGTTTATACAAATTTAGGATTGCTTTGTTATCTTGGCAATTTGACTCGTGTCATGATTTTTTTTTTTGCTTTGAAATGTTTTGATATTTATACTATTATAAGTACTCTTTTTATATTAAAGTACATGGCATATCCTTTTCCATCCTTTTACACTGAAATAATTTTCTGATGGACAGCAAAATTGGTTTTATATTTTTTTAGTCCACTTTGCCAATCTCTGTCTTTTAGTTGCTGTATGTAAGCCATTTACATGTAATATAATTATAGATATATTAGGGCTTATTTTTTCTGCTTTTCATTTTTTAATTTTCCTTTTCTTATCTTTCTGTGGTTTATTTGAATTTTTAATGATTCCATTTCAGTTTTATCTATAGTATTTAAAAATATCTAATAGCTTTTAAAATGATTACTATAGGTAACACAAAATAGAAGTTTGTCACAGTCTTCTGTTGTCAACACTTAATGTTTAGTGAAATGTAGACACCTTATCTCCCTAGATATCCTGTCTTCCTCCTCTGTTTATAATACTTTTATTTATTTCTTCCACATATATTCCAGAACACATCAGACACTGTTATAATACATCTGCTTCACCTGTGTAACAAAAACTCAAAGGAAAAGACCAGCTTTCATAATAGTTGTATTGTTGCCCACCATGTTGTCTTTTCTTTCTCATATTTCAAAGTTTTCTTTTTTATTGCTTTCTTTTTGGTTTAGAGAAAATTCTTTAGCTATGTAATAAGTTTGATCAAGGTGGTGTCAACTAGATCTCTGCATTGCAAGGTATCTTTTTTCTTCATTACCTTTGAAAGACTTTAGAATCATCAATGACATTTTTAATACAGAAACAGCTCTTCTTTACCAGAGAATTCCAATTAATAAATGTAGAAAGAATGATGGAGATAGAGAGTCACTATTAAATTACTGTTAAGCAAACACCGCTGTAATAACTGATGCAGGCAGAGTCATCAGTGGGTGGCAGACACTCCCATCATGGGGTCCAAGTTGACAGCAATGATAAAACATACTGTCTGGCACCTCTCTGTTGTTCTTGGCAAGATTACATATGCTTAGCTTGATCTTGGAACACTGGACACATCCAAATTGAGGAATAAGCTCCAGCATAACTGATGAATATTTATCAGGTCTGTCAAGGTCATGACTGAGAAGCTATTACAGATTAGAGAGACTTGACAGCTAAATGCAGTACAGAATCCTGGGTGGGAAAAATGTCCCTAATGGGACACAGGACAAAATTGAAGCCCACCAGTTTACAGTGCTCACTGTGATCATGTCCTGAGGAGATGACTGATGTGCGGTGATGTAGCAGTGACACTGTGGACGCAGAACAGTTCTGCTATTTCAGAACTCCTCGTGTTTCTTTAAACTTTTATTCCACAGTGAAAATCACTTTATAAAATAAATATTTCTATTCATTTCACGAAGATAGCAAAGCGGTTTTGTTGTTGTTTTATTTGTTTTAAGGTAGGCAGGGTCTTACTGTGTAGTCCTAGCTAGCCTGAACTTTCTAGACCATGCTAACCTTGAACTCAAAAAGAGTCTCCAGCTTCTGCCTCTCAAGTGCTGGTCTTAAAGGCATCTCTCCTGGTGTGTATTCTGTTTAAGTATGGGAAAATCTTCACTTATGTAAGAACTAATGTTTGGCAGGAACACCCTTACATCTTCCATTCTGAAGCCTGGATGTAGTTCACAGAAACTCCTGCTTCTTCCAAAGACTTCATGAGCATAAACAGTTTCTGCACTTCCCAGACAATAGATTTTAGACCTACTGTGGATTTGGACCTGTTCTCGACCCTGGAGATAAATGAATGAATGAAATAATTAAGTCCTCGCCTATCAGGATTGAATTATGATGAGCAGAATAAGCATGCTTTTAACATGTTGTGGGGAACGATAAAGGACAAGGGACAAAAGCAGGCCTGTGGGGGATACTTCCTTCACCATGTCATTCAGGTAGCACTCACTGTCATTGTCCCCCTTCCTGCTTTATGGGTTAGCCTTTTAAGAAATAACTGCTTGGGCCGGGCGGTGGTGGCGCACGCCTTTAATCCCAGCACTCGGGAGGCAGAGCCAGGTGGATCTCTGTGAGTTCGAGGCCAGCCTGGGCTGTCTCGAAAAACCAAAAAAAAAAAAAAAAAAAAAAGAAATAACTGAATCAAATAGTTGGATAAAGGGATAAAGCTCAAGCACAAATGAATGTTCCCCACAGTGACAGCTATCTAGGAGATATACATATATATGTGTGTGTGTGTGTATGTATATGTGTGTATATGTTTATACATATGTATATAAATATCTTTATATATTTAGAGAAATAGTTTAATGATGATATTTTATTCATCTATTTGGATATAATGGTACCATTAAGAATTATGCTTTGGGGTTCATTTAACAAAATGCAAAAAGGATTTCATATAATGAAGTGAAAAAAATCAAGAAATAAAACTGTAAATGTGGTGTGACCCCCCACTATATAAAAGATAAAGCCCCAAAGCAGGGATGTCAAGGAGCTATTGGTGCCAGGTGGCCGGATTATGAGTTATTTAAAACTACCCTGCGCTCTCAGGTTCCCTGTAATAACGCCTGCTATCCCGCAGAAACTCAGTATGGCATGCACACAGACAGAACTTGAGGATGTGTTCCTTTACACTAGCTGTTTAGGAACTGAAAATGTGGGACTTTGTTCTCATACCAGGTTTTAATTAGGAGAAAGAACTGAAATATTTCTTATAAATTCTTAAAGATTAGAAGCTAAAGATTAGATATGTTGATTTTTAAAAATGGAAGTGTGCTGTGGGACGGTCTATATGTCAAATTGCTCTGATTGGTCAATAAATAAAACACTGGTTGGCCAGTGGCCAGGCAGGAAGTAGGTGGAACAAGGAGAGAGGAGAATTGTGGGAAGCGGGAGGCTGAGGTAGAGAGACACTGCAGCCGCCGCCATGACCAGCAGCATGTGAGGATGCCGGTAAGCCACCAGCCACGTGGCAAGGTATAGATTTATGGAAATGGATTAATTTAAGCTGTAAGAACAGTTAGCAA